GAATAAAATGTTTGTTTAGTTAACACTACTAAGCATATATATAATGCAATTCAGTGGCAACTTTATAATTTCGTTCGATAAAATTTAGCTATTTACATATTTAAATTTATTTATTTACATATTTATTTATTAAGCTTTTTTAAAGGGAAATGTGTTTTTTATCTCTCATATAGACATATTAAAGTCATTGTTCAGAGTGTGTGTGTATGCGTGGAAACGGAACACTGGAAACGGACATAGGCGACTCTTAATCCCCATCCCGCTTATCCCGCAGACAAAGTCAAGGACAAAAGCTATAGTAATAATAAAATAGTATATAAATCACATTGTATGAAATAATTAAATAATCCAAACTAATCTATGTCAATTTGAAATTAGCATTTTTTCTCTCTCTTTTAGTTTAATTGATAGATAAAGAAGGATGCATTCAATTCCATGAATTATGTTATGTTTTTATGTATGTTTGTTATGCAATATTCATTTGCAATTTTGATAATTCGTGTTTAAAATCAATAATTTATTTATACACTTCAATGACTCTCTCTAATGAATTTCAACAATAATTTGAAACTTATTGTTTTTTTTTTAATTTTTAGTTCAATTATGTTAATATGGAAGAGTTATACGTAGCATTAATATTCCAGTTATACTTAATATTGACTTAAATATTGGAATCTTGTTAATATTTAAAAAAAAAACTGCGATTATAAAAACCATAAGTCCTAGTGAACAAAAGATGATTCGTGTCATTTTGGGAGAATAGAAAACTAAAGTATGATATTTTATTTAAACTTGCATCGTCCGGGTTCGTGCTTAGATATATTTTTTATTTACAATATTATATACATACAGCACTACCCTTTTCGCATATTTTTCAACCGACTTTTTAACTAACCGTCTATGTGTTAGGATCTAGATTTTAGTCTATCTGTGTACTAAGTTACAACTAAATCCGTCCAGCGAAGCACCACGTAAGCTCTTGCAATATTTTTGCCTTAATAGTGACGTGATTGAATATCAGTACGCCATTTACTTTGATTATCTGTTTGAAATATTGATGATATCTGGTGTCAAAGTTTGTGACGTCACGTTGGCCAAAGGACGGATATAGCTTTACAACTACCATCAGTCAATTACGTACGGACCGACTAGCTGTCAGTCCGAAACAAGGAAATGTACAGTTGTTACAGTCATAGGCTTTGATGCTAGCAATTTGCTAATTTAGTTAGAATAACATTCAACTTGCTTTTCGTCTGTCTACTCTTTATCTTACTACATCTTTTGAACAATAATACATAGTAGCTACAAGAACAATATATTTATATGTTACTATATCTTCTTAAAAAAATTATGACGATAAGCATGTGTGTAGGGTTATTATAAAAAAACCTTATGTTTAAAAATCCTGGCCTTACATTACTTCTCCTTTTTAAGTCTTTAATAATAAAAACTGCTCAAGTGCTTAAATCATCCTCATGAGAGCAATTGATTTCAACCGTTATTATAATACGTATTATAGTATTATAGTACGACTAGCGACTCACCCTCGCTCCGCTCGGGTTCATCCCTAGTTACGTTTTGACATTTAGTATAGATTTCTTAGAGATGACATATTTTCTTCATCATTATAAAGTATCATATATGTTGATCCAGATAACCAGTTATCATTATATGAAATTTAATCAAAATCTGTTCAGTGATTTTCTCGTGATGCATTTTCAGACAGACAACTATTCTAAAAAGTATAGATTCGGCCTCTGCAACGATAATAATGACTATTTCATTAAGAATTTCCAAAAAATATTTAATGTACAGATTCGACTCAGAATTTTATTACATGTATATCTAATCTTTTAAATAAATAAATAAATATGTTGCGACATAAACACACAACACCATCTACTTCCATGTTAAGCTACGAGTGTACATGTTAAGCTTGTGTTATGGATAGCAGACAGCTAATACACTACATATATATAACTTTAAATACATACATATTATAAATATAAACACCCATGACTGGAGTACAAACTTTCGTGCTCATCACACAAAGGAATGCCCCAGCGGGATTCGAACCCGCGACCGCTGGCACAGCAAGCAGGGTCACTACAAACTCAGCCAAACGTGTCGTCAAAATCTTGTGGTATCCTATCCCATATTCAATGTACAGATTCAGCTCAGTTACAATTTTATTATTATATGTATATTATTATATGTACTCGTATAGACACAGAACCAAGTTAACCAATACCCTTAAACTTTACTATTATGGAAGGAAAATTGAATGTTACTCGATCCCTAAATAAATACTTAATCATGATCAAGTTTAATTCTACTGTGAATGTCTTTCACAATAATTGAAACCTTGAAATTGAATTGTATGAGTAGCTTAATAACGACATATTACGATAGCTTTAAGCTCATTCACTTCACGACATCTTTTGATCATGCATTCATCTATACATATAATAAAATTGTAACTAAGTCGAATCTGTACATTAAATATTTTTTGGAAAATCTAATTGAAATAGACATTATTATAGATACAAATTCCGAATCTATAGTTTTTAGAATTTTTGTCTGTCTGTCTGTTTGTCTGTCTGTCTGTTACCGCATCACGGAAAAACCACTGGAGGGATTTTGATGAAATTTGATATGGTGATAGCTGGTTATCCGGGTCAACATATAGAATACTTTTTACAGCGGGAAAATGTCTCATTTCTGAGGAAAAATACAAAAACTGCAATGTAAGAGTACACTAATATGTAAAACCTAAGAATTTGGTTTTTGGTCATCTGAACGCGGGCGGAACCGCGGGCAATGCTAGTTTAAACGTAAATTGCGAAAAAATATGATAATAAGCTTCTACGTAAGTAATCCATTTTCTTGCTCTTTGCTTATGGAAATTATGTTAAGGAGATGTTAAACTGAAGGTAATCCTTACCTATAGTAAATATGAAAGTGCGTTTCTATTTTACTTCGAATCGAGGCCATGAAATCTATAGTCTCCTAGAAATATACGCTAAACGTATAAAGATTATATTATTATATTAATATAGATAATAATATAGAGATAAGATTATATTAATATTCATATTAAATCTATATCAATATGGTAAAACCACATGATGAAAATGTAAATTAAGACAATTATTCCTTAAATACACGTTAGTATCAAAACATGTAAATTCATAATATCCACGAAAATTGGAAACCCCGGGATGGTGAATTGTTCTCGCGAATATTTGTATTTGAACTACCTTAATTTTTTTTTGTCGACGATGCCGTTTAGAAATAAGTTCTGTGATAATTTATTTATTGACAAACAAAAACAAATCTATCTCACTTGAACCGTACATTTTTCCGAGATAAAAAGTAGCCTATTTGTTATTTTGATGTATGAACTATATTAGTGTAAAGTTTCATTAAAATCCAATCAGTAGTTTTTGTGTACTATGCTGTATAAATTACTATAATTTTTTAAATATCCTACGGAAATTCTTTAATTTTCCGGGGTGAAAAGTATCTAAAATGTTGACCGGGGATATAAGGTGCATGCAAAGTTTCATTTAAATCGGTCCAACGGTTTCGGAGATAAGCCCGAACAAACAGACAAGCAAACAGACAGAGAAAAATTTGAATTTGTTCTATTTCTTTTCATACATCCACCTGACTCGGTTTTTAGCATTTTTTTCTATGTACAGACATTCAACCTTTACAGTTTTATTATATGTATTAGATACCTAATGATTTTCTTTTCTATGATAATTAAAAGAAGATTACTCTGTCTAATACCTATATACGAGTATAATTGTAGATTGAACTGTTCAATTATTTTTAACAAATCTGTAACAACAACACTAAATTGGCTAGAGACTTTTAACGACATGAAAAATATAACCATATAAAAGATAAACTAAAAACTTACTTTTGTATTTTGTGCCAAAATAGTAGCATAAAAATATTACAATATATTTTTGGCAGAGGTTATTTACAAGTACCTATTAGTTTCACGAGCTTTTATCCGAAATCTTTCTTGTTAAAACAATAACATTTTTTGTTATACTGAATTTTTAAGCTCACAAACGGCCTTTTTAAAATATATTATGTACTCTATAGAATTGCCATAATTAATAGAAATCGATGAATGAAATCTAAAACATAATATCTCTAATCAAATTTATTTCTTTTGAGTCGAAGGAGTCGAAACGGTAAAAGCTTTTTAAAAGATATAAAAAGCCATCTCATCGCCTCTTCCGGTGACGAGAGGGCTGGCTCGATTTTCACTCAACGAATAGGTATTTCAGCGAATAAACATAGATATTTTTACCACAATTCCATGCAGATATGACTTATACTTACTCTTAAATGTATTTTTGTCTTTTATATAATAAGTATATATTTAATTACAGATCTGTTATATACTGTCTATTATCGTGTAACAAAATATTTTACTAAATTATTAACAAGAGCGACATTTTCTTGATAGTACATAGCTATTTCTTGAAAGTACAATCATCAAATATTAAAATCCATACAAATTCTCTAAAAGTATATAAAAAGTATGACAAAGTCACATAACGCTTTGATGTATCATAGGCCCATATATTATTGTAAATTTCAATTGTAGAATATTATAGTCAATAGAAGTTAAGGGGGCTTATCTAAGACAGTATTGTACAATCGTTGACGTAGAAATATAAAAAAATTATGAAAATGACATATTATTGATTCTATGATATATCGAATAAATGTGGTCATTTTTGTACATTTTTATTTTTTATTTTACCGACAAATCTCTATCGTGTCTTGTCCATTCCTCATGACATTGGCGATGTAATCTGTGCTCAACTGCCACGCTTTGAAGCCATTAACAAGAGAATTGAATTTACAATTTTTAATATCTCTATTCGTAAGCTATTGGAGAATGTCATTTATATATGTCATTTTATTATCTAAATATTACCACAGGTGATATAATACTATACTACATTACTTACCTAGAGCATAATCACAGGATGGTCCGAAGAAAACATGGGCGCAATCGTTGTAGGCATCGATTGCTGATATGACTGCGTATGCAGCATCACAATCTGTTACGTCATAGGTTAGCCATTCGAAACGAATCCATGATGGGAAGGCTTCTCGAACGGCATCAGACAGCAGGGCCAGCTCGAGAACAGGTTCAACCTGTTAAAAAAAATTATTTCAATTCTTATTATATTTGTCTGTGACATCTTTTTTGAGGCAAAATTATTTGTCTTTTATAAGCCTAATTTGTTCATCTATTTTAATTACATAAATTTTTAACTTTAAAGGTATAGAACCTTCTTTCGCGTATATCCAATTCATATGTACCATTTTTTTCTTCATACTTCGTCATCAGTACTGTTACGCGAAATTTTGTATGTGTGTTTATGTGAGTAGGTATATGTTTGTAACTTCTTTACTTGTAACGGCTGGACGGCATTTGACAAAATTTCATATACAAATCATACAGATGAATGACGTACTCGAGCAAAGTATGGGTATATCACTAAATTAAGTAAGTTATAAATAATTATCTAATTATTATGTATTGAATTTATAAAATTGTTTGTCTACGAAATATAATATAGTTAATATTACAATTACGTATATATAATGTAAATATGAAGAAATTGTTTTCCTTTTGTCTTTGTTTAGTGAAGACTTTCGCGAGCAAACGCCCAGTCATATTTCATCAACATCTTAACAGTTCGAATGAGATTAAAATTTTCTATACCAAATGTTTTGCAATTACTTACAACAATTAACTTCAAATATTATAAATTTTAAAAACAATATTTTTTTAAATAATATTCAGTATAAAACACTGTATATTGTATGTGATAAGATTTAGTTAACATAATTATTAAAAATGTCCGTTGATAATCAAAAATGCATAAACACCTTCAGCTTTTTTGGTTAAAGCTAAGTTAGATGCATTCAAAGAATTTATATTTAACTAGCGAGAAAGAAGAAGAAAACCTACGTTATAACATTTAATATAGATGTCTTCCCGCGGTAAAAACTATCCTATATGTTGACCCGGATAACCAGCTATCATCATACCAAATTTCATTAAAATTTGTCCAGTGGTTTTTTCGTGACGTTCCCAGACAGACAAAAGTTTTAAAAAATATAGATTCCGCGTCTCTGTCGATAATAATGACTATTTCAATAAGATTTTGAGAAAAATGTATAATAACATTAGCATATAAATCACTGGATCTAAGTCCTACATTAAGCTTTTATTAAACTTTACGTACTAGTAAAAATGACTTTACTACTCCCTAAAATGTCTTAAAGTACTAACTTAGGTACCTAGCAATTTTGCTTTTTTATGTTTTTTACTCTTTTACACAAAAACTATTGAATGTATTTTATTGAAGGTTTGTAATAATTCTAGCATTGCCCGCAGCTCCGCCCGCTTTCTAATGACCAAAAATCAAATTCTTAGGTTTTACATATTACTCTTTCATTGCAGTTTTTGTATTTTTTCTCAAAAATGAGATATTTTCCCACGGTAAAAAGTCTCCTATAAGTTGACCCGGATAACCAGCTATCACCATACCAAATTTCATCAATGGTTTTCTCGTAATTCTGGTTATCCGGGTCAACATATAGGATACTTTTTACCGCGGGAAAATATCTCATTGCTATGAAAAAAAACAAAAACTGCAATGAAAGAGTATACTAATGTACAACCTAAGAATTTAGTTTTTGGTCATCTGAACGCGGGCGAAGCCGCGGGCAATGCTAGTTAATAATTATAGTGTAATTAACATTTACTAAATAAAAATAATATCGCTACTTAAAAATATATTTTGTACTCCATTTTCTAATTAACCGTACCTAATATAAAATCATAAGTGTTACGATTTTCAGGGCTATATTAATATTGTTTTTACTTTTTACAAAAAAAAAAACATTCAATTTACTTTATTCAAATAAGACTGAGCCTTTTCTTTCTTTTAAGTAAAATGTTGCAAATTAAATATCTTTAGGGATTCGTATACTTCTAAAATAAATATAAAATATCTATTCGTTGGTATTATTTATACATATAATAAAATTCTGAGTCGAATCTGTACAATAACTATTTTTGGAAAATCTTATTGAAATAGTCATTATTATCGATTCAGAGACCGATATAGATTTTAGAATTTTTGTCTGTCTGTCTACCCGTCTGGTCGACACTTAGCCGGATCAACGCTTAGGATAATTTCTGCGTGAAAATATCTCATCTCTTAGAAACCAATGCTAACCTTAAAACGTAGAGACGAACCCGAGCGGAGCAAAGGTGAGTCGCTAGTATAATACTAAGTTGTTTAAATTATTGAAATAAGAAACAGCGCAATCAACGATAATGAAGCTGTCCGTACAATAATTGCCCGACCAAAACATTTACTACTTACAAATATTAAGACTGCTCATAGATCTCTTATCAGATTAATCATATTATAAACTAGGTTTCGCCCACGACTTCACTTACGTTGTACCAATAATACTTGATATATCAAACCAGATGTACTTTAGTTTTCATTAGGAATTGAATTTTTTAAATTAAACACTGTAGTTCTAGAAATTATACTGTACATACAAACAAATAAAAACTGTTTATAATATGATATATATATAAAAACCCATGGAACCCAAACCCATGGAATAAAATAAACATGTAAATTATTTATATATATATATATATATATATATATATATATATATATATATATATATATAATTTACATGAATATTTTATTCCATGGGTTTGGTTGTAAGATCCTTCATACAATGTATCTCGATCAAACGTCATTTGTAAACGAAATACAGTATTAGTTTAGGTCCGTATATTGTCTTTGACAACTCCACAAAGTAAATAGCTAGAAGCTATAAATAAATGAGACTCACCACAGGCAGGTTTGCATCATACGTTGTATTCTTGGGCAACAATAGTGCTGCGCGTATTTTACAAACTCCGTTATCGCAAACATTTTCACATTTTTTTTCCCGCGGTTCTTCCCCTCTACAATTTTGGCAGGAAACGGAAACTATCGCCCCAAGAAATATGAGAAAAACGCACCATCCCATGTTAACAATATTTGTATACCACGCACATCACTACACTAACTATAATAAATTACTACATATTTGAATAGAACAGACATCCACTTCACGTTTCACTGAAATACCTGAAACAAACAGAATTTCAATTATTAAAATTATAGTACTGTGAACACAATTTACAGTAACTTTTAGATTTGGTCATCTATCTATACTAAATCTATACATATAATAAAATTGTAACTAAGCCGAATCTGTACATTAAATATTTTTTGGAAAATCTTATTGAAATAGACATTATTATCGATACAGAGGCCGAATCTATAGTTTTTAGAATTTTTTTCTGTCTGTCTGTCTGTCTGTTACCGCATCACGAGAAAACCACTGGACAGATTTTGATGAAATTTGGTATGATGATAGCTGGTTATCCGGGTCCACATATAGGATATCTTTACCGCGGGAAAATATCTCATTTCTGAGAAAAATACAAAAACTGCATTGTAAGAGTATACTAATATGTAAAACCTAAGAATTTGGTTTTCGGTCATCTGAACGCGGGCGGAGCCGCGGGCAATGCTAGTAATGTATAATATTGTCTGTCGTTTACTTTTGATCAAGTCTAATTCTATCGAGTAATATACATTTTATTTCTTCATATATTATGAATACTACAATATACGAAGTATTAGTCTACACTAATATTATAAAGAGGAAAATTTGGTATTTTTGTTTTGTTTGTAATGAACTCAAAAAATACTGGACCTTAGATGAAATTTGGTAAAAAGATAGTTTGAGACCCTGGAAAGGACATAAAATATATTTTTTCCCGGAAATCATCCCTTAAGGGGATGAAAATTTGTATCGAAAATCAACCTCGGGACAAACCAGAGCGAAGCCAGGGTGAGTCGCTAGTATTATAGAAATTCAATTTGTAATAGGTTAAAATGAAAAAATGAAAGTTAAAAAGGAGAAAGGTGCAAAGAAATGAGTAGGTACTTCATTAATATAGAGACATAAAGATAAGTCAAATGCCTTCCTAATGCCTATTTAAGGTAGAGTTTATTGAGTCGATTTCCTCAAAAATTTTCCAATGTAACTTTCTTATTCAAACTTCTTTTCGCTGATTTTATAATTCAGGAGTGTTCTGGGAAAACTACTTATTCAAAAATGGTAATAAAATGTTTTGGAAAACCTATCGCTTGGTTGGTTTAAATAGAAACTATAAAGTTCGGAAACTCTTTATATTTGAAGTTACAAATTAATATATATATATATATATATTGCCGATGAAAAATCCCATCGGGGTTACTACTTTTCGGCCATGAAGATTTTCACAAAATATAAACATTAATAATAATAATCATTCTGGACCACAATAACTTTATTCATAAATAAGGAAATTGAACCTAGAACATAGTAATTTTTTTTACAGTAAAGGCTTGTACAATTCAAATTCATACAGTTGGGTGACGTACTGTACTCCTTGCTAGGTTATAAATATAATCTGTATTAAGAAGTAACAGTAAACACATTAGGGTAGAATAAGTTTTCAAACATTCCTTGTAAGTTCTTTTGAAGTTTAAATGTGTCAAATGGTCACTCCCCAAAGAGCTTGTAATTATTGTAAGAATTAATAAAGCTAAAATACTGTAGATAATATAATATTTCTTCACTGTCTTCTTTGAATTATAAATCTCAAATCTAATTTCCATATAATCATATTGATCAAAACATTGAGGAAAAATTCTATTGCTACTTGTTCCTACCATAATTTGATATCACAATGTTTTGTACAGAAGATTAAATTTACATAATTATGCTCAATTTCTTCTTTTCCTTATGTCTAATACATTCTATATTCACTGAAGTTTCTAAAAGATTATTTGTGTCTATCGGTTTTCGCATAATCCATACTATAATATTATAAATTTGAAAGTGTCTTTGTTTGTTTGTTCTTCTTTTACGTCGAAACGGAGTGACCAATTGGCGTGATATTTTGTGTGGAGATAGTTGGAGGGCTGGAGAGTAACATAGGCATTTTACCGCGGGAGCTTATCTAATTCCCACGGGAAAACACGTTAAAATAGAATCCAAAAAAATATTTATTATCAGAATTACTTGAAACTTGGTATTAATGCTCTTTAATGAATTTAAATAAATACGTGTTTTAGCATTTTTCGAAATTCATGTATAAGGGGGGTAAATAAGGGATGAAAGTTTATATGAAACTACCGTTTTAGAATTTCTTGCAGTTTTAGCGCGAGCGAAGCCGCGGGTTCTGCTAGTATTTTATAAGTATTTAATAAATATGCTTAAATAAATATGCAATTTGCTTCCATCAATCTTACTGAGACTTATCCTTAAAGCTCTTCTTTTGACTGACATCAAAAAAATACTTTTTATTTATTCCAAATTCGTTCTTTTTTTGCGTATCTTCGTCAATAATAAACAGTATTAATTATTTTTTTAATTATATTACTAGATTTCATAATTTTGGTTCTTTATAAATTTTTAGAAGAATAAATTTACTAATTCTAAAATTGTGTTTTTTTAAATATGCTGAAAAAAATTACTAAAGTTTTACGTTATATTACTGAAAAATAAAATAAAGGCAAATAAAGAACCTTATTTCCATTATTTACTTACGTTCGGAGTAAAACTTGTTGAATTAAAATAAACCTCGCCTACTTAACACTTATTCTTATAAATACGAGTATTTATACTAAAATTTTAAAAAAAGACGTTTTCATTTAGAATATAGTTCTAATTAGATATTTTCGAGGTCGGTGCCAGCCTACAATATTTTAAGATATGAATATCTGATAGGTAAATATGTATTTTACGTAACGAAATATATTAGATTTTGTTTGACATTAAGTAAAAAATATATGTAATAGCATAATAAGAAGAAAGTATTTTAAAAATTCAGTAGAAAAAAAAGCAATCATCCCCTATTTTCTACACTTAGGGGTGGATTTCGTTTTTTAGAAAAAATAATCGTAATCGAACTACACTACAGAAAGATAACTTCGCTTTAGCCGCTACATACATATATTATTATGCAAATAAAGAAGCTTAATCTCATCATAAATACTAGACTTATCGGTACATAAAAAAACAGAAACAAAAAAATCTAATCTTGAAGCACTAACAAAATTATATATTTTCACCGATAACCTTACATGTTCGTTGACAAGCTGAAATATACATATGCATGTACGAACTATCAGCTCACCCTCGCTTCGCTCGGGTTCGTTCCTAGTATATAGTAGTATAGTATGTTTGAAATTGATATAAATAGTTAATAGCCAGCTTTAGCCATGTAAATTTTGAAAAAAAAAATTCTTGTACTTTTCCTATGTTTTAATAGTTTTATATGTATGTATTAGTGTAATGTGCTAAAAATAAGTTTATATACTTTTTAATTTTATTATATAATATGGTTTATATTTACGATAATTACACGATATCTTATAATTGGCTATACGTACTACAATTATTACCCATACTGAATGGGCAATGAACGTGTTTACTTATACAGGTAAGATACTTTAACATGTGTAGCATGCGAAGTCTACATAAACGTGGTACTGAATATTATAGAATGGCCAAACAAAAAATTGAGGACCGAACTCATCTCAATTTACAGTTTCATAGCACCCTTTAGATAGTCACGGCATTTTTCGGTACCCGAAAGGATCCTTTAGTGTCCCTTGGCGTGTCCTTTACTTATCTTTGGGCATGTCCATGAATACTATGCCGCGTTATGCCACACCGTGTCGTTAATGAGTACCAGCCCTGAATATAAATACATATTTTATGAAGCTTTATATATAAAAACTTACTTTCATTACTTAAAACCGAAGGACGAAATTGAATTTATTGAAAACAGGAACAGCCTTTAGAAGCGCGCTTACTCGTAAAACCAAATGAATCGGGTTCAAACCCGAGTCTCGCATCTCAAAGATTGACATGGGTAAATCTCGCTTCAACAAACCACTTATTAATCCGGCTAAGGAACGTATCATGAAGAAACCTGCATGTCTAAGATAACGTAAATATTTTATGTAAAACATATTGTATATGAAATACACAAAGTATTCAATTACTACTTTTATTGTTAGCCTTTGATTGAAACATCGTATCAATTCATACACATATATACATACATCAATAAAAACTTACATACATACATACATACATACATACATACATACACGCATAATATCAAAATGTGTAATATTTACAATGTTTGAGTTTAAACTGAGAAAAAATAAACTAAATTAATGAGCGAAACAGAACATAAAAGTGAAAAATATATGAAGATTTAAACAGATTCTAAGCTATTCTTACGGAGGGAAATAACGGTTATATATTAGTATAATATTTACCGTCTCATATACTCTGTTGCAAGAGTACTTTTCTTCACATTACATCCACGTTTCAATTCATTTAGCAAAATATTTACGGAACACTTTATTTTGGACTAAAAGTTGTTTTCTTAACTGGTACATTTATTTGCACAGTAGCAAAGCGTTAAATTTATTATATATAACAGTTAAAAATTGTTAACCAATTTTGAGGAGAATATAAAAATATACTCTATTGCAATAAACTTATGCCGAGTCCACACGCTTGCTATGTGCTACAAACTATAAATCTCTACAAACGGGAAAACTTTTGGATTCACTAGTGACCATGGGACCATTGCCATGAAAGAAAATATATAGATACGTTAAAGAAATAAAATTATATCAGTAAAGTCCCAGTTTTAATTTAGATATCTGCTACGTAAGGATAAAAAACGTTCCTTACAAATATTAAAAAATAGTACATTTATGAATTAAAATTATAATCTTAATCATTTAAATATTCGTAAGTAGTTTAATGTGAACAAGCAGATGCTCTCCAGAAATAATTCTGCTACCGTCTATTCATACGACTCGGTCGGAACATCCACAAGTGCTTGCAATCCTTCACAAGCCAAGCCAAACGCTCTCTTCACAATATGTTTCAATTTGTGAAGG